CCCCCCCGTCTGCTTGCTGTGTAGCGTCTGACTGGCCTGCTGCAGGAGGGCGCTGAGCAGCCCCCACGATGAACTGTCCTGTGAGCCTCCGAGTCCCGGGGGAGTGCCATGCTCTCTCCAGTTCTGTTTCCACAGCCTTGTGGGAGCCCCCGAACCTCAAGCGGTGTAGAGAAGTGCATTCAGTTTTGGAAGACAGCATGGAGAAAATTCAAGGCGTGTTTATATCACGGGGGCGGGGCGGGGACGAGGCCCGGAAGTCACGCAGGGCAGCAGCACAGATACAGCCCGGTGAGCGCTGAGAGCCAGTCCGGCCCGAAAACCCCAGAACAGAGATAGCGGCTGTCACGGGTTTAGCCTGCACGGGCGAGGTCAACAAGCAGTACAATGTCCGTCTGTCCAGAAGGCCATCAGAACAGACAAACACGCCGTGAAGAAAACAGGAAGGGACACTCCGTCTCCTGCAGCGGGTGCTCCAAGCCCCAGGCCTGCTCGGGCTTGACCTGATGTTCCCGCACCTGTTGCCGGGAGGCCTGTTAGCTGCCGCCCACCCGCCCCTCCACCCGACTGCTGGCTGTGTGCAGACGGAGGGGCCAGGGCCGAGCGGCTGAGCAGGGCTGCCTGTCGACTCAGCTGTGACTCACCACTGGCCTGTCCCACGGCAGCCCCTCTGCCTGTGCGCTGTTTGTTGCTGTGATTCTGGGGGGCGTTTATGGCAAATCGGAGGTCTCTGGCAGTTCTTGCACATTTGGCCTAGTACAGTGGGTTGCAGTCCCCCGCCCCTCAGTGAAGAACAGCGGTTCTCAACCTTTCTCATGCTGTGACCTTTCCATATAGTTCCTCACGTTGTGGTGACCCCAACCATAAAATTATTTTCATTGCTACTTCATCACTGTCATTTCGAATTGGGTGACCCTGGTGAAAGGATCGTTCCACACCCCACAAAGGGGTTGCGACCCCCAGGTTGAGAACTGCTGGTGTAGAGCCCCCCACTTGCCCCTGTCCCTGTCACTTGGCTGGAAGCTGGGCCTTGGCCACGCCACGGGGCTCCCCACAGCTGGTCCCTCAGATGTTGGGGACCAAGCTTCTCCAACGCCGGCCATTGACTGGCCCTCCCGGTGCGGCAGCCCGGTGTGGCCTCTGTCACAGCACCCGGGGCTGGGTGGCTCTAGCAACATGAGGTGGGAGTCACCGTGTCTCTCCCTCCAGCATGTTCCCTGTGGAGGCAGGGTGGCATGCACAAGCCCCGCCGAGAACTGTCCTCACCAGCGTGCGTTTCAGAAGGGACGTCTGCTCTCCCACCTCTTTCCAACAACCTTGCTCCTGGCTGCCCAGACGCCACGCTCTCCTGGCGCGTGGCAGACGGTGAAAGTGGCCCGTCATGGGAAGGCCCTCCGCTTGCTCCCCTGAGAGTGGACCACTTTCCAGGAGAAGGGATCCCTCTGTTCTCTCGCCCCACCCCCGGGGGCAGTGTGAGGGGCTGTGTGACCAGGCCCCTCTACCTTCTGGCTGCATGTGCCCACTGCAGTGCCACATGGACCTAGCACTGCAGTGTTGGTCTAAACCAGGGGTGGGCACCTTTTCCTACCAAAGGCCATTTGGATACTTACAGGATCAGTGTTAGGCCATACAAAATGATCAACTTAAAAGTCTGATCAATTAACTCACCCACGTGACGGCACAGGCCGCCTGCCGTGGTGTGGCTGCGTTTTGAGTGCAGTGCACTTGCTTGACGGTTCAAAACCACCAGCAGCTCCGCGGGGGAAAGATGGGGCTTTCTGTAAACAGTTTCGGAAACCCACAGGGGGTGCCGTGAGCCAGCACCTGTACTGATTTCCCAGCCATGGGCAGCCGTCAGACAGACCTGGACTAGACCACAGTGCCCAGCCTGACTGACCCTTCACCCCCTTTGCACAGCCCCCTGTCCCGTAGCACCCTTGGATGCCAAGCCTTGTTGTAAGGCGCTGATTTAGGGTCCAGGTGAAATAGAGGTGCTTGGTTTCCCTTCCTGGGTCACTTGGCGCAGGTGTCCCGCACTGTCTCGTAGGGGTGGGGCAGGGTAGCGGACAGAGCCCTCACCGCGGTGGCTTTGCTTTCTGTGCAGGAGGTGAACGGCATCACTGCGGCCCTGGCCGAGGAGCTCTTCGAGAAAGGTGGGTGGCCACACAGACAGGCACCCGTGGAGTGCCGGGTGCAGCCTGCCAGCCCTGCTGGGGGAAGGGTGGGATTGAGCAGACAAACCCAGCTAGGGCACCTGTAGGCAGACAGAGCGGAGCTGTGGCTGCTCACCTGAGATCGCTCCGCAGCTGTGGTGGAGGTCAGGTCGCAGGCCAATGCCGGCCCTGCGGAAGTCTGAGGTGGAGTGGCTCGCCTGAGCTGGTCCTTTGTCACCCAGCCTGGTGCTCAGCATGTTGCCAACATACCTAGGTGGGCTCGGTGACCTGGTGGAGGGCATGTGGCGGGAGGAACGGGATCAGCTGAAAGCCAGCACTGGGCCTGCCCTCGACCCCTGCCCTGCTCTGGCACTGTCACGTGCAGGGCCCGCGCCCTCCCCCCCCACCCCAGCACCGCGGACAAATGGTCTCTGCCCCGTGCTGCTCCTCCTCAGCCTTTGCCAGCCTGGAGCCTCAGACCCTAGCACCCCAGCACCCCAACTCCATGGGGCAGCTCCTCGGTGCCCAGGCTCACTCGAGGGCGTGGCCTTGCAGGAGAGCAGCTCCTGGGTGCCGGCGAGGTTTTTGCCATCGGGCCCCTGCAGCTCCACGCTGTCACCGAGCAGCTGCGTCAGGGGAAGCCCACCTGTGCCAGTGGGGACGCCAAGACCGACCTGGGGCACATCCTGGACTTCACCTGTCGCCTCAAGTACCTGAAGGTAGTCCCAGGAGCCGCTGCGTGCGAGCTGGCCAGGCGTGTGGGACAGGGCACGGCAGAGGGGACTCCAGGGATGGAAGGCCCTCTGCTGCCCTTGAACTGCACTTCTGGCTCAGCACCGTGGGGGGGGGTGTCCCCGGGGGTGCCCCGGGCCCCTCGAGCTGCAGGCAGCCCCACTGGGAGTCGTACCCATGGCTGCAGGTGTCCGGCACAGAAGGACCTTATGGGACCAGCAACATTCAGGAGCAGCTGCTGCCGTTCGACCTGTCCATCTTCAAGTCTCTCCGTCAGGTGGAGGTGAGGCCCTGGTGTGCGCACGTCGGGTGCACAGCCCGTCCGGGGATGTCAGGCCCACCTGGAGACCGAGGAAGGGGGTCCCTGCTGGGCCGGGCCTGTGACCTCGGAGCAGTGTGAGTTAGAGCCCAGTACATCTTCCCGCAAGCCAGGCAGAGCCCACTCCAAACCTGCGCTTCCTGAGACTGGGGAGCTCTGCCCCCCAGGATACCCACCCCCAGTAGTTATTCCTGGGACAACTTTGTTTCCACTTTCAAACAAGGAGGTCCTGCAGGATGAGTGGCTGCTCATGCTGGAAGGTCACAGCCCAGGTCCAGGCTGTGCTCGCCACCTGCGTCTTCCCAACAGCCCAGTGATGTGCACCTCTGTCCCCGCTTCGGCATCGAGGAAACGGGCTTTGCAAGGGGCAGGCGTGAGGCCAGGGTCGTGCGGTGCCTGAGGGGCAGCGGGACTGAGGCTGCTGGGCTCCGGCCATGCTCTGCAGCGGGCACCTGTGCGGTGCCTCAGCCACTACTGGCAGTCTTCGTCAAGCGGGCTTTGGGAGTCCAGTGCAGGCTAGCTTGGCAGGCAGTGCTCTGGGTCTGCGTGTGGGTGGCCCAGGGACAGTGCTACAGCCTCTGGGGCCCTGCCTCATGGGGCCAGTCTTCCGTGCCCTGGTTCTCCTGGTCTACCTGCCCAGCCATCAGCAGCCCTGTGAGAGTGGGAATCAGACGGCTTTCAGAGTGGACGCATCAGCGTTCTGAGGGTCTGCAGGGAGGCTGGGGAAGAGGCTGGGTTTGGGTGGGTCTCTGCTGGGTCAGCACCCCTCCCTGAGACGCAGCCCCTCCCGCTCCCAGATCAGTCACTGTGACGCGAAGCACATCCATGGGCTGGTTGCGTCCAGGCCTACCTTGGCCACCATGAGCATGCGCTTTTCCGCAACCTCCATGAAGGTAAGCAGGGGCCCTGGGGCTCAGGTCCAGCTGGAGACCACCCCCAGGGGGTGTGGGGGGGGTGTGGGCGGCAGCGGCACCCTCGGAAGCAGGGCCTTCCCCGTTGGACAGCTAGCTCGGGGTTTCCATCAGAGTTCATCCGAAACCAGCAGCAGCCAGTGAGGGCTTGGGGCGCACCTTGCCCTGGAGTCCAAAGAATGCCCACGAGCTTCTGAGGAGCCGAGTGCTAGGGGGGCAGGAAACGGCTGTGTGTCCGCGCTCAACCCTCCAGCCGCCGCCGCACAGTCTGTGTCCTTGGGGTGGTTAGCGGGCAGCAGGCGTTTGGTGTTCCCCTCCCTCGGTGGGCTTGGTCATGTAGGAACCTTCCTCGGGGGCAAAGGGCACGCCTGACGCACAGTGTCTGCTTGGATGAACGGAGCCCTGTGGTCAGGCCGGCCCCTCGAGAGTGGCTGCCTGCCCGCCGCCCAGCAGAAGGGGCCCCGCCATGATGCAGTGAGGGAGTGGTGGGAGGGCCCTGCCCCGTGAGAGCCCTTGGCTTTAACCCTCTGAAATCCAAGCCACTGTGGTGGGCCCAGCTCCCACTCCTGACGTCCCTCGTGTCCCCTGGGATTGGGCCCCAAGTGGTTTCTCTTCTCCCCTGTTGTGCTGCTGTGGTTGAGGCTGAGTGCGCGCGCGCACGCGCGCGCGCA